GTTAGTACTTAAACTTTTGCAACGGATTCGAACCGCTAGCGCCACATTTGGGAGGGAAATGAGCGTTCGACGATGCAGTCAAATATTTTGTTAAGCAAAACACTGTAATTTTGTGTGTGTGTGTGTGTGTGTGTGTGTGTGTGTGTGTGTGTGCGCGTGTGTGTGTGTGCGTGTGTGTGTGTGCGTGCGTGCGTGCGTGCGTGCGTGCGTGCGTGGGTGCGTGTGTGTGTGTGTGTGTGTGTGTGTGTCTGTGTGTGTGTGTGTGTGTTGTGTGTGTGTGTGTGTGTGTGTGTGTGTGTGTGTGTGTGTGTGTGTGTGTGTGTGTGTGTGTGTGTGTGTGTGTGTGGAAAGGGAGGGTGAGTGGTTTGGGGGGTGGCGGATACCGAGTACATGTGCAGTTGTGGGTTTCAGGCGAGAGTTCAAGTATTGCTAAAATATAAAAAAGAGATTAAAAACAAAGCTGTGACACGAGCGATCGCAACCTTGATCCCAGGTGTGGCGCGGTCAACTCCCCATCGTGCAGAAATGCTATCAGATCGGATGTGCTAGATGGTACTAAGGTCGTAGGCCGTCACAGCTGCATTGAGCGCCACATGCGCTACAGTTGGGGACGAAGATAACGAGGCCGCAGGAGCGAGCAGCCAGGGACTACGTGAGTGCACGCGGACGAAGACAGGAAGCTCCCCCCCCCACAACCCCTTCCCCCAACTGCTGTCGATAGGATACAAGATGCTGCCGGCAGGATACAGCCTAAAGGAACCCTGACACGCTGATTAGGCTCGCCGACGTTTTTATCTGAGCATGACATATAGGAGTTCATCTACACAGAGCATAATTTTCTGCTACAAATTTGTGTTCCTTCCGCTCGAAAATATCCGGTCGTGAATTTACCGGTTTCTGTCACGCTCACTCTTTTTTTTTTTTTTTATGGTCGCGTTGCGTTCAAACTGTTTACCAAATATATTCGAACTCGTGAGTCATCTCAATTAAATTCAGTTTTTTTCATTTACTCCCATAATACAAAATGGGCGATGGAGGCAGGAGAAAAAGCTGCAGAAATGCAGCTTGACGAAGCCCCTGCCCCCTACAGGTAGATCTGTAGCTGCGCTCTAAGGCGCATGTCCCATATTAAATATAGAAAATAATGTGAACTTCAATTTTGTGGCCTTCAAAAAACTGCAAATAGGTTGATCGAAAAAAAAAGTTTCACAGTTGACATGAAGTACATGTTTACGTCATTCTTAATATGGCGACGTACCGCGGGCTGGACGAACTGACGGCGGCGCATGACGAACCAATTTTGCGACGGACGCGGGGCCACTACTTCGGAACAGTCGATCGTGGTACCGGGGAGTCGATCTTCAAGCGCAGAACATCAAGCGGAAGGGATAGAAGTGTGAAACAATCGCACGACAAACGGTGCACCTCTATTCGTCGTATCGTCGTCTGCTGCCACATACTAAAGAATCGGAAAAAAAAAAAAAACGCGGTCGGGTGGAGAAACGTGACTTCCGGTCATGAGTCTCCGTGCTCGTGTTTCGGTCTTAATTTTGAGCGAAAAAGGTTTTTTTTTTTTGCTTCATTAAATATATACGTGGTTCTGCAGCAATGCATTAACGGGGCAGTCTCCTGACACCAGTATAAATTCTCTGGCAAAAAAAAAAAAAAAATTGGAAACATTTCAGGGGTATTAGTTTTCTTTTAGTAGACGCTTTGCAAAATTCCACCAAGCAGCATTGGCGGTCACCATTGCCTGCTCCCGAAGCCCGTGATTGGATCCGAGTTCAAACCGAATGCTGACGCAAGGCTCGTGTCCAATACATGCTCAGGGTATGTAAGTAAGCAATGGCGGACAGGCGTTGGCGCGAACTTTTCAAAAGGGTCTAATAAAACCTTTTGAAGACCTCGTCAAGCAACTATGGCGGTCGCGATTTCTTCGGCACCAAGCGTGTTATTGGATCCCGAGCCCTCACCGAACGCTGTCGCAGCATTCGTTCTTGATCCAAACTGAGCCGAGTTCTCGCCGTATGCTGACAAAACCCTCATGTCCAATAGATGCCCAAAGCACGTGCCCGAACAATGGCGGACTGCAATAACCAAAAATATTCATAGGGTATCTTATGTTCTATGACGACTTGAAGGCGAAAACCAAAGTGCCGATGCATTAAAGAGAGACACATGATTTACTTAATTCCCTTTGATTCCTCTTAATTCACTTTGTCATCCTCCATGATTCATTTCGCTGATTTATTTGACTCAGCTTGTATCTTTCTTTTTCTTTTTTTTTTTTACTTTCTGTTCTTTATGAGTTGCCACTGGTGCTAATTGTAGGGAGAGGGCCGAGAAAAAAAGCTGCATTTAGGCAGCTTTTTTCTCGGCCTCCTTTTATCATAAATGTGATGCAGAAATAAATGTTTATTAATATTATTATTATTATATTCATTGGCTCTAATTCGCCTGAGTAAACACGTAAACGTGATAGCGAACCTGCAAAGACAGCGCGCTCTCTGAGGACACACTTTTGGCACCGTTTCATTGGCTCACTCGGATTGTGGCGTCGGCTGTGGCCCCGGCGATAGCAGACCTCCGAAAACGGCGCGCTCTCTGCGGACGCACTTTTGGCACCGTTTCATTGGCTCACTCGGATTGTGGCGTCGGCTGTGGCTCCGGTGATAGCAGACCTCCGAAGACAGCGCGATCTCTGAGGACGCACTTTTGACACCATTTCATTGGCTCACTCGGATAGTGGCGTCGGCTGTGGCCCCGGTGATAGCAGACCTCCGAAGACAGCGCGATCTCTGAGGACGCACTTTTGACACCATTTCATTGGCTCACTCGGATAGTGGCGTCGGCTGTGGCCCCGGTGATAACAGACCTCCGAAGACAGCGCGCTCTCTGATGACGCACTTTTGGCACCGTTTCATTGGCTCACTCAGATCGTGGCGTCGGCTGTGGCCCCGGTGATAGCAGACCTCCGAAAACAGCGCGCTCTCTGACGACACACTTTTGGCACCATTTCATTGGCTCACTCGGATCGTGGCGTCGGCTGTGGCCCCGGTGATAGCAGACCTCCGAAGACGGCGCGCTCTCTGCAGTGAGGATGCACTTTTGGCACCGTTTCATTGGCTCACTCGGATCGTGGCGTCGGCTCCGGCCCCGGTGATAGCAGACCTCCGAAAACGGCGCGCTCTCTGAGGACGCACTTTTGGCACCGTTTCATTGGCTCACTCGGATCGTGGCGTCGGCTGTGGCCCCGGTGATAGCAGACCTCCGAAGACAGCGCGCTCTCTGAGGACGCACTTTTGTCACCGTTTCATTGGCTCAATCGGATCGTGGCGTCGGCTGTGGCCCCGGTGATAGCAGACCTCCGAAGACAGCGCGCTTTCTGACGACATACTTTTGGCACCCTTTTCATTGGCTCACTCGGATCGTGGCGTCGGCTGTGGCCCCGGTGATAGCAGACCTCCGAAGACAGCGCGCTTTCTGACGACATACTTTTGGCACCGTTTTATTGGCTCACTCGGATCGTGGCGTCGGCTGTGGCCCCGGTGGTAGCAGACCTCCGAAGACAGCGCGCTCTCTGAGGACATACTTTTGGCACCGTTTCATTGGCTCACTCCTATCGTGGCGTCGGCTGTGGCCCCGGTGATAGCAGACCTCCGAAGACAGCGCGCTTTCTGACGACATACTTTTGGCACCGTTTCATTGGCTCACTCGGATCGTGGCGTCGGCTGTGGCCCCAGTGATAGCAGACCTCCGAAGACAGCGCGCTTTCTTGCGACATACTTTTGGCACCGTTTCATTGGCTCACTCGGATCGTGGCGTCGGCTGTGGCCCCGGTGATAGCAGACATCCGAAGACAGCGCGCTTTATGACGACATACTTTTGGCACCGTTTCATTGGCTCACTCGAATCGTGGCGTCGGCTGTGGCCCCGGTGGTAGCAGACCTCCGAAGACAGCGCGCTCTCTGAGGACATACTTTTGGCACCGTTTCATTGGCTCACTCCTATCGTGGCGTCGGCTGTGGCCCCGGTGATAGCAGACCTCCGAAGACAGCGCGCTTTCTGACGACATACTTTTGGCACCGTTTCATTGGCTCACTCGGATCGTGGCGTCGGCTGTGGCCCCGGTGATAGCAGACATCCGAAGACAGCGCGCTTTCTGACGACATACTTTTGGCACCGTTTAATTGGCTCACTCGGATCGTGGCGTCGGCTGTGGCCCCGGTGGTAGCAGACCTCCGAAGACAGCGCGCTCTCTGAGGACATACTTTTGGCACCGTTTCATTGGCTCACTCCTATCGTGGCGTCGGCTGTGGCCCCGGTGATAGCAGACCTCCGAAGACAGCGCGCTTTCTGACGACATACTTTTGGCACCGTTTCATTGGCTCACTCGGATCGTGGCGTCGGCTGTGGCCCCGGTGATAGCAGACATCCGAAGACAGCGCGCTTTCTGACGACATACTTTTGGCACCGTTTCATTGGCTCACTCGGATCGTGGCGTCGGCTGTGGCCCCGGTGGTAGCAGACCTCCGAAGACAGCGCGCTCTCTGAGGACATACTTTTGGCACCGTTTCATTGGCTCACTCCTATCGTGGCGTCGGCTGTGGCCCCGGTGATAGCAGACCTCCGAAGACAGCGCGCTTTCTTGCGACATACTTTTGGCACCGTTTCATTGGCTCACTCGGATCGTGGCGTCGGCTGTGGCCCCGGTGATAGCAGACATCCGAAGACAGCGCGCTTTCTGACGACATACTTTTGGCACCGTTTCATTGGCTCACTCGGATCGTGGCGTCGGCTGTGGCCCCGGTGGTAGCAGACCTCCGAAGACAGCGCGCTCTCTGAGGACATACTTTTGGCACCGTTTCATTGGCTCACTCCTATCGTGGCGTCG